GATTTTATTACTTGATTTTTGGACGTGGGTTTTATATTTTATATTATTTTTTCTTTTTGGTAATTTCCTGTTGCTGACAGAAGTGACTAGTTATAGGATGAAGATGAAAAGAAATTTCATCCTTTATCATGTGACTTGGTTACATATTTTTCTTTGCTTGGCCTTTACTCTTAGTTGTGTTGCCTAGAATGAAAATAGAACTGAAATATATCAAAATTTTGCTTATTAATTCAATGTTACTTGGTTTTTGAATAAAGTTATAAAGGGAAAGGAAAGAAAAGAGAGAAGGGGAAGAAGAAACTGAAGCAAGTTACAGGCTTAGCTAATAGTTGTATTAGGGTCTACCAGTAGAAGTCTCAATGTAACCTTGTATTGGTCTCAGGTGATGCACGGTTTTTGGAGGAAGAGAGCACAAAGGATTTTGCCAGGAAAGTGGCTGACCATTATAGTTCCAGAACAAATCAAACTTTGGAAGAACGAGAAGCAAGTCCTATCATTCACTTAAAGAAACTTAACAACTGGGTATTTTTTCTTATCTCACGAAATATATCATAAAATTGCCATTAAATCCTGCGTTGGATTTTCTATGTTTAATTATTTTTTTTTCTTGTCTGACAGATCAAAAGTGTCCTAATACAGCTTTATGCTCGGCGAGGTGATGCTATTCTTGATCTTGCTTGTGGCAAGGTGCTAGCAATCCTTATATTTAATGAATTTTGGATTTCCCTATTAAAATTTGTTTATTCTGAAGTTCTTTATTTTTATTCTTTTATTTTTTATGATTTAGGGAGGTGACCTCATTAAATGGGATAAGGCAAAAATTGGATATTATGTTGGCATCGATATAGCTGAAGGCTCGGTAAATTTTTCAGTATATTTTCTTTAACATGATTTAGTTAAGTTTCTTGTGATCTATTTATGACTGCAACCAAGTCTCCTTTATTTCCGTTATGCTTAGCTTGAGTGTGTTTCACATTTCAAGTCAATACTCTAAATTTATACTTAATAAATTACATATATTTATTATATATTTTTTTATTAATAATTAAATAATAATTAAATTTGTACTTCTGTCATAAAAATCATCATAATTTAGACTCATTAATGACTTTGAACTCAAGCTTGATAAGGTTAATTATTGACTTTGAGCTGAACTCAAAACAAATGCTAGAAGGGTTTAACTGAACAAAGCTTCTTGAAAATAAAGTTCTAATTGAGTTCAAACACAAACTTAAGCCTGCCTAAGTTTTCTTGATCTGAGCTTGAACTAATAAAAGTTCAGTTCTGCTTCACTCATTTGAAGCATTAACTTAGACATGCTAGTTGCTCATTGATTCTCTTTCCACATTTGCACAGATAGAAGATTGTCGGACACGTTATAATGGTGACGCAGACCATCATCAACGTCGCAAGAAGTTCACTTTTCCTGCCCGTCTTATATGTGGGGATTGTTTTGAAGTAAGGGCAATAATACCGCTCACTTTGAGAATTCATATTCAATGATAGCCAGTTTAATGCACCTAGGATATATAGGTTAAATATCAATCTAGTGACATGCTTTGCTTTAGACATAGTAATTTGCTTGGTATAGAACAGATAAATATAACAAATTTGGTGCTTAGCAACTGAACTCACAATCAACTTCTTATCAGCTTGTATGTTTGTTAGGCATTCGGATTTATATCTAATTTTTCATTTTGTATCATTTCAGGTACGCCTGGACCAAGTTCTAGCAGATGATGCACCTTTCGATATCTGCAGCTGTCAGGTAAATACATGATACTATGGTGTTGCCACTATTAACATTGAAAACCATTTAAGGGTTGGAGTACCCCTTGTACTCCTATTCAATGAATATATATGATTCATAAAAGGAACATTGAAAACAGTTTCTGTTTAGGTGGCCAAGAAAAAAAAAAAAAAAAATCTTTTTAAGCTTTCTGCCAACATTTTGTGTTTTAATCTAATGGATTGGTGTTAAAAGGTTTACCCTAGAGAATATTGAAACTATAATTTAGAAAAGGTATCTGTGTTACAGACTCAGGAACATTTCTTTTCTTAAGGAGACAACTGAACTCAATTTTTTCCTCTAAAATCCTTCCTTTTACTCTATTTCAAAGAAAAAGGAAAACAATCATCTTTTGTTGGTTTATGATCTAAATTTTAAAAGCAACCCCTTTTTTCAAATTATCAATTCCCTTGTTGTAAGAATCCTTTATATTCAACCCCTTTTTTCAAATATTTGTCCAATGCCCTTGTAGTAAGTATCCTTTATACTGTTGCATTGGAAATCCTTACATTAGATAATGATAACCAAATCAATGCTTTGAATGCTGCAGTTTGCGATGCATTATTCCTGGTCTACGGAGGCACGTGCGCGACGGGCTTTGGCCAATATATCGAATTTACTTCGTCCAGGAGGGACATTCATTGGGACAATGCCAGATGCCAATGTGATAATAAAAAAACTTAGACAAGGTATTCATATTCTGTTGCACCTTAATAGTTTGACTGTTTCTTCTCCTGAAAGAATATTTTAAAGAAACAAATATTTTAAGTGCCAGCCAAGAAACAAAATATTGCTGTAATGAAGCATTCAACTCATTATTAAATAAATTATATACCCAAAAAAATTATTATTAAATAAATTCATATAATTAAGTAAAAAATTATATTGTTAGTTTAGATTATTTAATCATTATTAGCCTGTTTCCATCCTAAAAGGCATATGATGTACTGTATTTGCAGCAAGAATAGAAGAGAACGACCAAATGTTGGAAATTTTAATCTCAATTCATCAAAAACTAGTCACAAAATTATAAAATTTCTAGTTAGGGTCCACAATAGAATAATGAATAAAAGTACTAATGAATTCCCTAAAATCTATAAATAATGAATAAGCCCAAGGTGCTACACTCGCCCTTGTACTTCCTACAAAGATAATTCTGATTGAGAACTTTTAATGTTGCTCCATAAGTGTATAAATTATTGCAAAGCATTGCTTCTTTCATTCTTGTCTCCTGTTCCCCTTTCCTTTGCCATTCCTGAGCGTTAGGATTGTTCCCCATGCGAGACCACTTTTGTCATTCTTGATATAGGAGATGTTTTCACTGAATATGCAGCTGAAGGATTGGCCTTTGGTAATAGTGTCTATTGGATACGTTTTGATGAAGAGTTTTTGGACAAGGTGAGCAATCTCCTCACTTGGTTTCTTGCTTCATTTTCTTTAATAAAACTGCCAATGTCATGTGTACCATGGGAGGTCTTATCTAATTCCTAAACATTGTGAATTAAACGGTTCAGAAATTTAAATCTTCCAGCCCCTTTGGAATCAAGTACAAGTTTCACCTGGAGGTAGCTATTCTATCTAATTTATATTTTTATGCTATTTGTCTACATGCCTTAATTTTATTAGTCTATAGGTAAGCTATGTTGCTTTATTGTGATCTCATTTGCCTGGAATCTCTTTGAAGTTCCTAACTTCTTTATTTCAACAGCAAACATGATCTCTCTTACATTTTAAGCTTTGTGCAATTTGGTATGTTGTTACAGGATGCTGTTGATTGCCCAGAATGGATTGTCCCCTTCAACGTCTTTAAGTCATTAGCAGAGGAGGTATGATTCTCTCTGTTGCCTACTACTTTTTTTTGAATATGTGGAGGTTTCTAAGTTTTATATGATAAGATAACAGGCCCATGGTCTCATAATCTATGTGATATCCATGATTTTTCACATTTGTCTGTATTTACGTTACATAAATGTTTCTCCATGTATATACTTATGATATATAATTTAACCAAGTAGTTGTAAGTAAATATAGTTGTAAGTAAATAAATGAGAAGAAATTAAATTCTACCTAATGTAAAACAACAGTAAAATGATGAAAAAAATAAAGGGAGGAAGACATGAAACAGTTTGGTTCTGTTTTCTTAGCTTTTACATGACTACATTAGATTGGTCATTGGTAATGTTCAATCCCTATTACCCTTGTGTAGGCAAAGTAATATCTGAGGTTTTTCTGTTATCATGTTGCAGTATGATCTAGAGTTAGTTTTCTCTAAGAACGCTCATGAATTTGTGCATGAGTTCTTAAAAAAGCCAGAATATGTGGAACTTATGAGGAGGCTTGGTGCATTAGGTGATGGTAACCAAGACCAAAGTAAGTTAATTGTCCCTTGCTCATATATATTTGACCTTTTAGGTTGTCTCATTGGATAGAAAATTTAAATAACACAAACCATCTTTGTTGTCTCTTTATAATAGTGTTTATTTATTTGTTTCACTTCAGGCACATTGTCACCAGATGAATGGGAAGTTGCTTATTTATACCTAGCATTTGTCCTAAAAAAGGTTGGTATCAAATCCCTTGTGTAGAAGAAATTAGGAGTATGTTCAATTCTATCCCATCCTCTTCATTTGTGTGCATATATTGGGTTATAATGCATTTGAGGTTTTGCTTCTATAGTCTATTGGGTGGGACAAAGTTACTGACAAACATTGTTCTTCCCAGCGTGGCCAATCTGAACGTGCACAAGCAAATAGTAGGAGAGACAAAGGGAAATTGCAAATATCCAAGGAGGATATCATGTACATTAGTAACGGAACTTAATGGGACGGCCTAATATGTTCATTTATATTTCAAACAGGACAATAAGAGAGATGGTTGTGAATGAAACAATACATATACATGGGCAAGGCCCTTCCACAAGGTTTTAGCTTTATATGTTTTTTATGGAAATTCCAATTCGGTTTTGTAGATTTATAATGTAATATTACTTCTAAGAGAGGGAAGCTATGTGGTACTTAATTAGTGTTTTTAGGGAACAAGAACACTATTGACATGTCTGTAATCAGGCGCTCTGCTGGTTAGACATTTTAGTGCTTTAAAGCAATAGAAGCCTCTGAAGTCTGAAGCTGAACTAGAATGTCTACGTGTTACAAGATGGGGTTTACCACCAGTATTTATTTGTGAATGGATCATTTATTTATTTTGATGAAAATAGAAGTTGGGATTTACCAGTTATAGCTCTCATATTTGGCATCAGTTATAGAAACCCAGCTTTAGTTTAGTAAATTCTAAACTTTAAAGTTTAATGGATCAGAACAAGTTATTACATATGCCTATTTAGCACCTGAAGCCTCATCCATAATACTAAAGAGTCAAGTGTTGATGGCTGCAGATATAAGAAGGATGAGTTTACACTCTTTATAAGGTGTCTATAGCAAGACATACATAAAAGGAACTCTGCCTAAGTGATCACAGAAGCGGTGCGGCTTCAGGAAGAAGGGTATTCTTGTAAATGATGATAATAGCCAGGATGAGCACAAAGTCATAATAGTGCTGAAATGGTTTTTAAACCTCTTCAAGAAGCCAAATGAATATTATGTGTGTTGTATTTTTAGAGTCTTAACATAGGGAATTATGGTTTAATCTGAAGACACCAACAATTTTATTAGATTTCGGAGCACATACATGTTGATGGTTCAAATTGAAAGTTACCTTCCTTAAGCATAATGTTCATCATGTGAAATGAAGGAGCCAACATTTTAAACTAGTGGAGGATTGTTGGATATTTAGTTTGAACTGGTATCAAAACTATTGTAATCAAATATCCAAGGTAGTTTAAAATATTGATATTATAGGCTTGATAATATTGATAGATAAAAATATCTTAAGTATAGAAAAGAATTTAATTTTGAATTCAAAGTTTTACAAGGGACATGACTATTAATCAAATGAAAATATCTATTTAATTTAAATGAATAAGCATCACCATTCATTGTAAAAGATCATTTTTGTTGAAAGGTTATAACATTTGGTTAAATGACATATCCTTGAGTCATGCGTTCTTTTAACCTATATGAATATATGCAAGCCTAAATCAAACATATACAAGAATTTTCATTCTTTTCACACTTTCTTTGGATAAAGTTGGGTTCTTAGGTTTTGCTAGATCTTGGAAGCATTTTAATGTCCTAAGAATAATATTTTGTTTAGAACTCCTTTCTTTATTCCTTTCTTACTTTATTTTGATACTTTTTACTAACAAATTTAATCTTGGTGTTGTGTTCTAGTTGTTAAAAGGTGTGGACTAAGAAGGTGTTCAGCAAAATTTTTCAAAATTTACTCTAAAAGTAATATTATTGCTCACAAATTTAAAATTTTATTAGAAAAAAACATTAAAATTAATTTTTTAAATGAGTTTCAGGCAATTTTTGAAGCTCTAATATAAAAGAAAATTGTGCTAAATCTGCAATAATAGGAAGGATAGCTTAGAGACATCCTAGTAGTTTAATTAAGAGATTGAATGATTGTCAATCATATAATCTAATAATAGAGTTATTTGTGCTTGTAATTATAGGTTTAGGGTTCAATCTTTAGTCTTAGGTACTAGAAAAAATTAAGAGCTTAAATATTAAAAATCTTAAGATGGATGAGGGTATGGGAAGAAAATGACTATTATTTTTTTTTTTTTGAAAAAAAAAAAAAAACTAGGAGGAGGAGGAGTATAGGAAGGAACCTCTCAGAGTAGCCACCCAAGTCACCGCCTAATAGTTTAACTCCAAAATTTCTAGTTAACAGACAAGTAGACAACCCATAACCCCACTTCAAAATCTACGACCTACAAATTTCCCCAAAAATCAAACCTGTTGCTAAAAAACCCCTCCACCCAGTTGATTTGTTGTCTGAAACACATTAATTCCACCTTACGTTCAAAATCAAAAATCACAACACCATGATCACATGCAATCAAAAGCAGCAAGTTGGACAGAATAGAATCATATCACCGGAGAATATTTATGTTAACGAAATATAATCTTGATTAAATTATGTAAATTAAACTGATAATCTTAATTAATTAGATTTAATATGATTTAATGAATTCATTTATACTAATACTATAACCATTTAAAGGTTTATATATTTGTCTTTTGCTAAATTAAATTATGAAATCTAACAAGCTATAAGAGTGTTTTGAAATAACTTAAAAAGAACTTGTTTAAAATAAAAAAATTCTTTTCCCATAAAATTAAATTTTGTTGGAGGTAAATTAAAAAAAAAATTGGTTTTTAAAATAGTTTTAAAGTAAATTTTGGAAAAAATTGGATATATAATTTTTTAAAATTTTGTCAAACACCCTCTTAAGAAGCTGTTGAGAGATGAATTTGTATTACTTTGAAGCTAACAACGTGTGTAGTGCCACATCAGCAATGGCCCACATAATCCATTTTCCACATTAGACATGCTGTTTTTATTTGCTATTAATGACTGCAAAAGAGTCAGCATCGCCAGGAGTGGCATTCATCCACTTTGTTGGAAGCATTGCAGACACAACCTGCTCCAGCATTTGTTTCTATACATGGCTAGACATGGCCACAAATATCTACATAACATGGCTAGGCATTTTTTTGACGGTTATGTTCTCTATAGCGATATTTGCCATTACATATTTTGGCTCCCAGCGATGGGCAAAGGGCCAAATTTGCTATCTCGTCTAGCCTTTAGTAATGGACAAAAAGGCTATACATTTCTATATATCTTCATTACACCAACCCTTGGCAATGGACAAAGGGTCAGATCTCTACATATTTTATCTCATTAGCTCCCAAAAATGGATAAAGAGTCAACATAACTCGGTACGATTAGTGTGAGGCTAGTGACAGTTGCAATCTTGTGATTGGATGGGATGACTATCCTCTAACGATAAAAATCCATCAAGTAGTGGCTGACAGTCCCTTGGTGGTTGCTTGTGCATGGTGGTGTGGTGCTCAGCACGCAACAACAACCAAGACCACCCCTTTAATAGTGTGGGTATGGTAAGAAGGGCCAACGTTTATTAGTGGTATTACACCTTGTTGTATCAGAGGCCATAGAGGCGGTTGGTGTCCCCTTTCCATGGGGACGACTCCACCTCTCTTTGTCAGATATTCATCACTATGGCGGAGTTTGACTTAGTGAGATTTACCCCTTTGCGACTTGACGGACTTGTAAGAGTGCTCTTTCGATTCCAAATAGTTCATGCTCCAACCATAGGCAAACCTAGCCATTGTTGTCCCTCTAGCTATATGGAAGCAATTCATAGCTAACCCTGCAATATTTACATGGCTAGCAGCCATGCACGTCATTATTTTCTCACACAAAGGGATAAAATTATCAGTCATTGGTAATTCCGACTCATAACATATACATCTTTTATACTTCATGTGTTAATAAGTATCGTCGACCAACGATGCTTGGTTCGAGACAACGGTATCGTAGCACACATCCATATCACTTATTTTTTGTCTTGGCACTTGCTAACCATATACAACAGCAATATACAGGTGTTCACCATGGCCAACAAACAAAAGGGTGTAGTGAGCATTCATCCACATCGCCTCTTCTTAATACAAAAGGGAGTACCCTTCTTCGCTACGCCTATCTATACATTTTGCACTTAAATATTTAAATATCTACTCATTTGTATCCTGCTTCTATTGCAAATAAACACAAGCCCATGAATCTAAACTCATGGGAATTACTTCAGATAAACTATGGAAGTGGTGGCTTGGTAGGCATGGATGGGTGGATGATGTTTGTCTGGTGAAGCAAGGTATTTTCAATAGCAAAGCTTGGCATTGGTGATGTTGTCCATCTTCACTAGAAAGGGCTGGGTGGAGAAGACATGGAAGTGGAATTGATCCCCAAAACCGTGCCATCTGATGCTAATTAGAATCTTAAAATCCTGTTAAAAACTAACTAGAGATGTTGTTTTAGTCTTTATCAGCAAGTTGCAGCTATATTAAATGCAAAGGTGGCTGTACAAGTTACATTGTGCAAGGAATTGTTGAAAAAGATTGCATTTTGCTTAGGGAATTTTCCAAAATCCTAGGCAAATTTTATGTTAACCGGTTGCACTCAAGTATCCTCCAAAAATGGAATTTCATATGGTTGGAGGAATTACCAAAAATAGGCAGTTTCCAGTCCATCGCTAGAACCAGTGAAGCTTTGCTGGAACCACTGAATAATTCATAATATTATTGCTAGAAAGCTATTAGCATTATGCAATGCCACTTAAAATTTGACAGCTCACCCAAATCTACTTGATAGCCACTGTAGACCTCTGGCTCATCAACCCAAAAATCACAAAAATGCCATTACACGTGTATATATTATTTTCTCTTCATTTTTCAACAAGAAGAGGGTGGTCTTCACAAATCTAACTCTTTTTCTCATGCCCAAAACCTCAATTTTTCCTTTGAAAAATCCTTCATCTTCAACCTCCCACCCTACACACCGAAACCATCTAGGAGCCACCATCTTCTTCATATTTTGTACACTTTCAACATTGCAGAACAATTTCCAAATCTACATAGTATCATGGTTGGAAGACAGCATACTACAATTTCAGCTTCTATGTGATTTTTCTTGAGCACCAGAGGATCAAGCTGCAAGGTTAGCATAAGAAATGAGATCAAGCACTCCACTCACAGGCCTCCCAAGGGATCATCCTTATTTCTCCCATCACCACTTTCAAGCTTCTTCCTTTTGTTCTTGAAGGAGCTTCAATAGAGGAATTGTTGTATTTTCTATTTACAAAATGAGGGTTGCTCATTATAGAGTGAGAATATTTATTAGAGATGGTAGAGGTTACATTTATTGTCATTATTATTATGTCAAAATATTTTATGTGTAAATGTGATTCTCAAGTTGTAATCCTTGATCCTCATGTATTTTTTGTCCTTGCTACTCTTGTTACGATGTTTACTTTCTCTTCACACTTTTGGTAGTTGCGCAATCATTCTTAGTTCTTGGAATTCCATCATCTTTGCTTACCCCTCTTCTTCTCAACTTGGCTGGAGAATTTATGTTTATTGACTTTGTTAGAGAATTTGCTACTGACCATCATTGTTGGGCAAAACAAGATGGCTCGTGGCACGTAGTTTCTAGCACGTGAAACAGGTGTTGCCAAAAAGACCCTCCTTATTTTTTTACAGGTGGCATCTAAGTCAGCCTTCACATCATCTTTGCTGTTGACTCATCATCTTACATCCCGAACACACCCCAAATAGAAACTTAACAGTAATTTCTTTTCAATAAAAATAAAAGGTCTTAAATTTGAATTGTATGTCATGTAGCTAGTGAGGTGAGTAAAAAAATAGAAGATAGTTCTCTCTTTGTGCAACCCAATATTATAAAAAAAGATATTGATTGATACATACTCTGATTTAATATATTATACAACAAATTTATTAAAAAATTATTAGTTTTTTTTCATCTAAAATTAAATTTAAAAAAAGTTTAAAATATAACTATTTATACTATAAATTGCAAGACTTAAGATTTATTTTCATAAAACCAAGTGTTGAGGGCATTGCTTGCAAGACTTAAAATTATGCCACATGTCAATTTATTTTTTATTTTTTAAATGGATGGATGAAATTAAGCTACATCAAATATGTTGCTCTAAGGCCTTTGACAAATTAGATGCTACATAAGAGAGAGAGAGAGAGAGAGAGAGAGAGAGAGAGAGAGGCCAAAGAGATGAGATTTATCCTTTAGTTGCCTATTTGAGTCATAATGGAATTGTTTTACCTACTTTTTAGGAGTTTGTTTCAGTTAAGATTGTGAGTTGGTAGATAATAGGGACTGATGGGTGAAAGCTGAACAGAGATCTAACTCAATCTACTATTGAGGTGTTCATTGTCTTCAAGAAACTACCCACATTCGTGTGTAACCACCTGGTAGTGGGGAGTTGCAGGCGAGGAGGAGACAAACAAAAGGAAATTTTCTAATTATTCAACATATAGATATCTCTACACAAAACTCATCAAATTTTCAATTCTGTAGTTTCATAGCACTTGTTCACTTTAACTTATAGATTTTGGTTTTCAGCATAGATTCCAGTAGATTAGGTTGTTTTCAGTATTCAAATAGCCAAATTAGTTCATGTGGTTGCTTCTACAATTTCCTTTTGTGTAATGAACATTAAGCTTTTCAATTTCTATAAGGTATTGTTTTTTTTCTTATTAGTATTAGTTTAATGTTTGTAATAAGTAGTGTTCCTCCAAATGATAACTTATATGGCATTCATGCTTCTTCTTAATTTCTAGCATGTTAATTAGAATTAAATCTCTAATTCTATAGTAGTTTGAATTACAAATCTATTTGTAGATAGTAGTTTAATTTGACAATGGACATGATTGGTTTAACTTGGATGCATATTTTATTTGCAAGTGTACTTTAATTTAATTCGCATATCATTTAGTTCATTTAGGATATGTTAACTTTAAGTTGAAGTCATTGGAGCTATCCTATGCAGATTTAGCAATCCATTTTATAGAATGACATCCCTTCCTCTTGCAAATTATATTTCGATTTTAAACCAACGTTTTTTCTAGTCATCTATAAGGAGGTCGATTGTAAGGGAGAAGAGGGTCAGTGTGAAAATCCTTCTTTCTTGCTCTATAGTAAAGCAAATGGCATGCCCATGTTCAAATTACGTACGTGTGATGCCGCTCAAGAATTTTTGAGGAAACAATAACCATGCATGTAAAATGTAAAAACCGGTTGAATCGATTATATTTATATTATATTATAATAATTGAATTAGATATATGTCGAACTAGAAGGTGTACTAATTATTTTTATTTTAAAAATTATAAACGGGTTTAATGGTAAAATTGACAATTTAAAACCAAACAATTTTTGGCCACTTGGACATGTTGTATATGTTTGACTGAATTCGACAATTGTATATTTAATCCAACTAAAAAGAGAACAATTAAACAAATATATTAAGAAAATAAATTAATAAATCATACGGAAACAAGGAAACATAGCAACATTGTGACTTCAGTTCTATATGCTCTCCTGGTGCTGGAATCTAAAGTCTGCTACGAAGACGGTACCGGTGCTTGACTGATTGATTTCTTCAGTCTTCTCTTCATCCTCAACTTTTTGTTGAAGTGATGCTCGGGTTTAGGAATGTCTTCCACAGTTTTCACCTCCGATAATGAAAAGAAGCTTCGCGACATCCCTTCGTAGTACTTCGAAAGCCCTCTCCTACACAAAAGAAAAAAGAATCAATGAAATTGTTATCATCCAAACGTACATGATAACGATATAGTGTAGCGACAAAGTGAAAAAGATTTTTTTTTTTTCGAAAAGGTACTGTACTTGATGGGAAGTCGTTGAGAAAGGGAGGCCATGGAAAAGTTCTTCTCTGAAGACTCAGCATCGGATTCCTCTGAAGAGTTTTTCGAGGGAGAAGAGCAGATTGAGCTCATTACAATCTTGGTTTGTTGAGTCTTCTGGTCGGGGGTGATTTGCCGGTTGGGGGATGCGGGTTTTTCCATCTCAAAGTGCAGTTGGGAATGACTGAAGGAGGATAAGACAATGTCGATGAATTAGGGCTACAAATAAGGAGGAATAATACTATATTTTACTACACTTAAATTTTTTTTTGTCAGTGTAATAATTAATTGATAAAACATTTATTTTTAATTAATCATTGTTTAAATAAAATTTTTTATTTAATATATTATAATTATGTTTTTAAAATAAAAATAAGTACATTAAATTAATATAATAAATAATTAAATTTAAACGTAATAAATTAAAATTAAATAAATTTTATAAAATTGAAAAGATGAATATACAGTAATGAAGAAGTTGTCCGAAAAAATAGCAAAAGAGTAAAGATCTGCACAAGTCCTACAATCTCTAGGACAATCTTTTTTCTTTTGATTGACTGTCAAGTTGATCTCTAAAATCATTAACAGATTTTCAATATATTTTCTTTTTAATTACTACTCCAAAATGGGAAAGGAGTATAAGGATTACGGATCATTACGTCACCATCAAGCCTCCTTTATTTATTTACTGAAAAAAATTGATAAATAATCTAAGCCAGTACATTTCTTCAAGATATATAAAAAAAAAAATTCAATACATTTATTAATATATATTAAAATATTATTTTTTAAAATTTAAATTAAAAATAAATAAACTTACAAACATAAATTTTAATAATTTAAATCTTTATATCTTAAATTTAAATTAAAAAAATAATTTTTTAATAAATATGTTAAATAAAAACCAATAATTTTTTAATTACTGCTCCAAAATGGGGAAGGAGTAGAAGGATCACGGATCGTTACTTCACCATGAAGCTTCCTTTATTTATTTACTTAAAAAAAAAAAAGGAATAATTGCTAAATCATCTAATTTAATACATTCATTAACACATATTAAGAAATTATTTTTTAAATTTTGAATTAAAGATAAATAAATTAAAAATAGATATTTTAATGGTTTAAGTTTTTTGTCTTTAAATTAAATTTAAAATAATAATTTTTTTAATAAGTATATTGAATCAAAATAAATACCAATTATTAAAAAAAAAAAAAACTTCCTTTATTTCTCTATATTAGAAATTTTTCTCTTTTTTATGATAAATACTAAATTTAGTCTTCAATTTTTATTATTAAGACTAGATATATAACTTTCTCTTTAGACTAGAAATGATTCCAGTCTTTTTAAAATCATAAAATTTGATTGTATCTTAATCACTTCCGTTAAGTTCCTAGCAAAAATTTTAACTAAAATGTTGGAAAGCCACTAAGATTCTTAAATTGAAAAAAAAAAAAAAAAAAAAAACGCTAAACTTATCATTTTTCCAAAACCAAACATATATATTTTTTAACGTAGCTGAACCGTTCTTTTTCTTTTGGAAACTCCAAATATTATGTTTTGTTTTTTTCCCGTTTTACTTAACACAAAAACTATGTTTCAGTCATAGAAATTTTTGTCAAATATTATATAGCATAATTTGATAGTTTAATCATATAATAAATTTTATAAACTTAAATATTTTTTAATTACGATTTTTTTGTCATTAATATTTTATAAAATACATCAAAAATATAAAATAAACATTCATTTCAAATTATAGGATTGCAACTCATAACATTTACGTAAACTCTTATCTATAACAAAAAAACAAAAAAAAAAGAAGAAAATTCCCAAATATTTTTCGATAAAAACATATACTAGTTAATAAAGTGCATATATCCATCATCCATAAGGTGTTCAAATTCATCCAATTAAAAGCAATACCTCTTTCATAAAATACCATAAAAAATACGCACATTCATCAAAAAAAGTAGGAAGGGATTTTTTAAAAAAGGACTTTCTAACCTATATCTTAAAAGTGTATTTATTATATATTTTCATCATAATTTGTATGAAAAATTATAAAATAAACATTATTTTCAACATTAATGTTACGTGGAACGATTTAATTGGATAGTTAATAAAAATAACAATCAACTCTAAAAAAGTCAATTTTAAAAAAGGATTTTTTAAAATTTTTTTTTAATTTTTTTACCAGAAAAATAATTTTTTTTAACTTATATCCTAAAATAAATTGTACTTTAGTAATAATGCTAAAGACATTGGGAATCTAAGTGTGTGATGGTTTCTTATTAAATTCAATATGGACTTAGTTGAGACTTGATTTATCTTTAGATATTAAAAAGTTGAAGGACTTATTTAGCAATCATTGCATAACATGACTTAAAAATATTCCTTTGGATATTATTTGACTTTTAATAATATTTAAGATATTATCACACTTTAGTTGTTAATTTTGGCCTTACATAATAAATTAACTCGATTTTGAACTTTATGCACTTATAGGTTCCACTCACAAATGTATGGTATCTATTCTACACTAGGGTTGAAGGCGAGGGTTTGGGGTGTGATAGAACCAATCGAGTTAGGTGGGATTTTAACTTTCAATCACCTTAGAAGAAAGCACCTAAGACCTGGATAGCTGAGCTATTTAGATGGAATCTAGGTAATGTTTGATGAACTTGAGTCCTTTACCTAAGATTGGGACTTGATGACTAAGGACAAGAGTAATGAGATATATGTGGAGCTCGCCATAAATCAAGATAAACACGCACTCAAATGAGGGACACATTCGTGTTGGCCTCCATTGAGGGACTATTATCCTTTAATGGGTGGGTCATGTTTGATCTGACTTGACAAGTCTGATCCCAACATATGTATAAACCTAACAAGTTTCTGTCTGCTAATTAGATGCCACTCTACCAATATGTAAATAGGATTTTAGCACAGATCCCAAAGGAAATTTCAAATTTCAAATTTCTTTTCCTTTCTTCCTCTCTTTCACTTGAAACCTTTTTTTATCAAAATCCAATCTAACCTAAGTATTAGGGGTGTACACCAAAAAATCGTTGGCACCCATCCTAAAGAGCTTGTTCTTTTGTGAACAACTTTCTCAAAATCTAATGTCAGACC